ATATATATATAAAACTTTTTCTTCTACGCAATTGTACATACATCTTGAACCTAAAAAATCATGCATCGCCGGGTAGAATAGAATCGCGAAATTATTTCAATAGTTCCTTCCCAGTTCCTTCCTTTCGCATGCGTTTAAACCGGAATAAAAAAAAAACTTAGAAAAGAAAAGTCCCAGACGTAGATCGCCGGGTGCGGAGGTAAGTCGCGTTACGCTTAACAAAAAAAAGAAAGGAAAACAACAGACAAAAAGAATATGCAATATCGACTTGCGAAGATATGCAAGGATCACCTGCAGCGTGCTGATATGCTTATCGTTGAACTTGTCCTCGACGTATCGGAGAGCGACCGAGGTCTTGCCGACGCATCCCTCGCCGAGTAAAACCACCTTGAAGTTGTATCCGGTGCCAACCACCGGGCTGGCCATAATCCCAAACGAGACGCGAAATGAGCTTCGTGTCGAAGGTGTCGCGGGGTAAGAAGCAGCAGGGAGGAAGAGGGAGGTGTGGGTTAATTCGCAGCTGAGCGCAACTCAAGGGAGATTCGGCGTGAACGCGTGACTGCGAACAAGCCACGAAGGTGCGACTGCGGAATTCCGCCTCGTTATTGCCGTTTCAGCACGCTGGTCGCGATGCTGGCGGCGATTGCGACGTGAGGGGCACTAGTGGCCGTTTCAACGACGGAACGTGATTTCCACACGATCTCCACGATCGTATGAGTGTCAAGACGCGGGAATCAGCTGTTCTATTCCGTGCCATTACGTGCGATAGCACATCGGCGCGTTTCTATAGCAGGCCAACTACGACTCGACTCGTTCATATTTAAAACGGCAAAAGGCGCGTTCCACGCGATTGTATTTTATGAGGAATTAGATCAACACGCAGAACAAAGATTCGTGTCGTTGCGCGCGCAATCGTGTCCTCGGAATTTCCACGATTAATCTCACTTTTTCGTTCCATGTAGGTGTCCACAAATCTTGAGAGTACTCCATTGTCAAAAAAAGTGTAAAAATTCCCTTAAGGAAAAATCTTGAAACTAAAGTATAATTTTTTCTATAAATGTTTATTGACTTTTATAAATGTGTGTTATCGTAGAAAATATCTATTGGAATCATATGTAGATAATGTTAAAGAAATCATAGGAATCCCCTTCAGACCTTGAGTGGATCGAATGTGTTTTATCCCTAAAACAGAACTTTTTGAATTGTGTCATTATGCATTTTCAGTTATCGCTTGTATATAATTATCGTTTTTTCCTCAAGTACATTTCCATTTTGAATGCAGGAAGCACAGCCAATAGATATAAAAGGAGTAGTAATAATAAAGTAATAGTAATAATAGTAGTAAAGAAATTATAGAGAAAATACTTAAGATTGAGGGGCTAATTGATCTGAAACATAAAAATGAAAAACTTTATTTTTAGACATTACTACTTACTTTATTTTTAGACACTACTTTTAGCAAGAATCTTCTTACTTTTAGAAGTAAGAAGATTCTTGCCAAATACAATGGAAATATTTTTTTGATAATGTTTAATTGATAGATAAATAATGTTTGTAATTGATAGATTTGAAATAATTGGAAAACTATCCTTCTCTACTCTTGATCATACAATAAATTATCATGTGTTTAAAAATGAATTATTAAAAATAATTCTCAAGAAGTCATATTTCAATTATATTTTTAGATCTAGAGAAAAACTTACAACAGTTGCAAAATAAATATTCTGTTGAATGCCCAGTGAAACTTTTTTAGCTAGATTGTAAAAGAGACTGAGATATACCATTTGAGATCCTTACTTTAGCATTAGTGCATATTCCAACTTTGTCGCGTTTGTCTCAATTTAATATAAAAAGTTTTTTATGAATTTTAATACAAAAATGGATTGGTAGGAGTTGTTAAATATTGTTCGTCCATTTGCCGAAACTCGAAAGCACACTGATTTCGTTCGGGCAAAAGATCTAGTTCGTTGTAGAAGACAGCTTGCAAATGCATGATGTTCTTAACATTGGCAATGGCGTTGATTTTAGCAAAGAGCACCTGTGCCTTTGACAAGATTTTTATACCACTTAGAATCATTTCTTTCCGCATCTCTGAAGGATTCTCTGATGCTGAAGCTATCAGACACTTGCCATACAACATGAATGCTTTGCCTTGATCGTAACAACCACCATGACCAAGAATGGTGGGAATAGCATCCTCTACCAAGTTCAAAGCCAACACAGGTAAACCTATCAACAACTGAAACAATTGGAGATGTATTTTAATAAACTAATTTACAATCTTTGATGAAGAAAACTCACTTGTATGTTAGCAAGATGCATCTTGATAAGCGCCTTATAGTATGACAAATGGTTTTGTGTAGCCAATTCCAAGGCTGAACAAAGACGCATTATACAATTAGTGGCGACTGTCATTCCATTGCCTGGTGAAGACGAGGCGCATGTTATTTGACTAGAGAGAAGCGCAGTACGTATCGTGTATGGCGGAGATACATCTGGATGCTTCTCGACAGCGCTAATGTATTCTAATCCTTTTGGAAAATCACCTTTGCTCAGACAAACTTCTGCTAACCTGAAAATTTCAGTAAATGCATTCTCAATCAAGTTTTTTTTTAATTTCTTTGTGCATATAAAAATGCGCTTTCATAAAATAAATTCATTATACTTGAGTTTGGATTCCAACTGATCTAAACTGGAAATATTTCTGGCTACCGCTTCTGCCTCACTCCATTTTTCTTGTCGCAACAATTGTGTAAAAATATGCAACTGTTCGCTCAACATCCATATCTACAAGAAATTAAATTGAACAAAAAAAACCTTTTTTATTCAAACACTTCGAAATTTTGAAATTATTTCGTAGAAAAAAAGACTATTTCATAATTATTATAATGTAAGGAAACCTAGAGAGGATTGAGCACTTAGAAAATTTTTCAACTTTGTTTTCTTCATTCGTAAAAAAACTTGCCTTATTGCAGGGACTATTGGGAAATCTTTTTTTAGCATGCGCAAGCACAATATCAGCGAAAGCATATTCGCCAAATTCTATTAACATATTGGCGACAGTAACGATCGCCTGACATGTGGACGGTCCATTAAACATGTGTTGCTTCTTATCACCTGTGTTATGAAGTAATAATAATTGAGCACAAAGAGAAGCCATTTCTGTCTTGCCATAATATGCCCATAACGCGGATTTCTCTGCAAAAGTAACGGACATCAAGTCAGACATTGAATGCTGACAATTTAACATGTCCGACTTCATCAATATCTGCAATATGAATAATTCTATGAATAATATAAATTTATATGTATCAAGTTGATTAATTATTCTCCTATGTACATCAAACACTTGTGGAGGGCTTTTGGCTTCAAGAGCATAGTTGTGAGCATGTGAAATGAGACTTAAACCTGTCGTATGCGTTATTCCGAGTAGACTTGCTTTACCGACTGAACGTTCTATGAGAGGTCCTCTATAAAGAATAAATGTACGCATAAAATAAAATAAAATTAAAAAATATGATATTAATATCTTAACTAACATTAACGCAATTTTTAATAATCTAGATTACACATGTAACAAAAGAATTACTTTTCCAAATATTTAAATAAAAAATAACATTTTATTTCTGCTTACTTATTCTCCTCATTGATCAAATAGGACATCCAAGAATGTGCAAGTTGCAAGCATACATTATCTCCAGCTTCTTGAGCTAATTTAATAGCTTCCTTCAAAGCGTACTGTGCTACTTCCCTTTGCAACAAAATCGAGACGATTGAAATAAAATCAATGTTACATATATCCTTAAATTTCATGCCATACAAAAAAATGAAATTTTACAAAATTTAAGAGAATTTAAGTTAACTTGAAATAGTTTATTTTAAATAAGATTGTTTACTTATGATTAAATTGAGCGTGTAAGACGGCCAAGTTGAGTGCAGCATATCGGAAGGTACGAGATCGATCTTCAGGTGTGGATCGATTCTCCAAAGGGGCCAGTCTATCAAAACAGTGATACAAACTGACCACGGCACCGCAAAAATCATTTACGCGGATGCAATTCAAATAACTCAAGTAATGCTAGAACAAAGATAGTTTTTTTTCGATTCGATTATTATGCCAATTTATATTTAAGGAGAAACATTTGTTTTGAATTAATTTAATTTATTTAATTTCACTTATATCAATATTATATTCATACTTACAGCATCTGCGTTGTAAGGATTAGATTTTAAAAGATCTTGTACGAGAGCTTGCAATTCTACCGGTGGCAATGCTTTATGTTCATCAGTTTGTAAAGCATGAGCTTGCTGTGCCACAAGCAATTCTGCCTGTCTTCCACCCCAAATTGTTTTTACTTTACTAAAAAGTATGTTTGACAAATACTGAAACACTCCCGGTATAACTTATGACATTATACCAAAGAAACATACTTATCCGGACTAAAATCCTCTGGTTTAGATATTGCAGAAACATCCAAGTTTTCCATATCAATTTTCTTCACGACATATTTCTCCATATCATTGTAGAGAGCAACCACTTGATCAAAAGCCAATTTCTCAAAAAAAATGAGCATTCTACGAACATACAATCCAAGAACAGAATTTCTGCTCAATGCTGGTAAAGCAAGTGCATGATCCTTAGATTCCATTAATCGACGAAGATTATCAAATAGATCTAATAGTTCATCTACTCCTTTCTCATGTATAGCATCTAGATTTATTTCCAGTCGATCCGCAAAACGATGTAAAGAGTATTCTGGCTCATACATCATATTTAGCAAGGCATCTAATTCCATGTCTGCTGACTTAGATGATCACAAATATATGTAATAAAATATCTTTTTTTCTTTTAATATGCATATATATTCACATAAATATATAAAATAGTTACCTGAATTAACTTTAATGATGCTAAACAGAAGTTACGTCTTTCCATGATCTCTATAAAAAAAAAGTTAGACTTTTATAAAAATTAACATGAAAAATTTATATTAGCAATATCATATACAGAATAATCCAAAAAGAATGTAATAAACTTTAATTGTTTAGAAGATCAGTCACTCCGAATCCCAGTATTTGCATAAAAATTTTCGAATTATTCAATTGCTGTTATCGTAATAAAATCATATGCTAATAGATCTTAGATAATCATATGCTAATAGATCCATCTTACAGATGGAAAAATATACCTTTGTCATTGTCATTGCAATATTCCTTAATTAAAATGACAGTCGCCACTTTGTAAGGAGTTAAGGTCTCCTTCTGAATCTTCCTCACATTGCCATCGACAGTAACAAATTCCTTAGACATTCTGTTAAATATATCATTCACCATGTATAACCGGTTGTCGTTTATTGACATTCTTTGCGGAATTTAAAAATTTCTTGCATATGCGTAGAGAACAGATACTTCCAAATACTTCATAAACACTTTTACGAACAGCGACCACATGTTTACATTTTAAATCACTCAGAATTGCGTTCCAAAACCTTAATTGTGAACTGCAATCCATTCGGTATTACTGTATACTACCAATGCGTTCGATTGGCCAATCAGAATAAAGCATTTTTTTTTGTCGGACAGTGAAGAAGACGGAGGCGGAAGGATCCTCCTTAATTGAATAAAATTCTATCCGCAAAATACACCCAAATACACAAATACAATATAACAACAAATATAAAAACAATATATTAAATTCAAATAACCTAATTTCATTTTTCGGTCAACACTTGTGTGCGTTTTGCATTTATCCCCGGGTGGGGAAAGAGATGCCTTCAACTCGATCGCCGAGCACAGGTCCTCTTCTTCCTAAAGTCGGTCGGCACTTTTCAATCTTTCGGTTATGACTTTTGATATCTGTGCACTGTAATTTGCATTGTATTATGATAAAGAGCTTAGTTGGCATGTAAATCCTGGAAAATAGAGTGGTTTTAACATAGCAAGTTGATAAATGCTACGATTGGTATCGCCTATCTTGAAATCGCAGATTGTTAAACAGATCAGGCAATCTACAACCGACGAATCGTTTATTTCATTCGCAAGGAGATATAGCAGAATGAAGTATTTAAATCAAACGGAGGCTATCAACATCGACAAAGATTTGTTCGAGAAATATAAATTTAGCGTTGATCAATTGATGGAATTGGCTGGACAGAGCTGTGCCATTGCAATTGCAAAATCCTACCCATTGTCAGAGGATTCGAATAAAGTGCTGGTATGCTGTGGACCTGGCAACAACGGTGGCGATGGCCTGGTTTGTGCACGACACCTCAAGCACTTTGGATATTCACCAGAGATTTACTATCCAAAAAGGCCAAGCAATCCATTGTATGAAAGACTATTGCATCAATGTATCGAGAATGATATATCCATATTAGAAAATGAATGCATTGAGGAAGCAACCGATGTCACGATTCTGCAGGAATACATAATCATAGTAGATGCTCTTCTAGGATTCAGTTTCAAACCACCTTTGAGAGAGCCATTCATCCGTATCATTGACATGCTGAAAGATACAACTGTTCCTATTTGTAGTATAGATATACCATCAGGTTGGAACGTCGAGGAAGGTCCGCCGCAGGAAGGTGGCATAAAACCACAAATGTTGATATCTCTAACGGCACCAAAAATGTGTGCGTCAAAATTTGATGGAAAGTTTCACTATCTAGGTGGACGATTTGTACCTGAGAAATTGGAATTGCAGTACAATCTAAATCTACCGAAATACGCTGATACAGATTTCGTCGTTCAACTACACTAATAAATGTTTATAAATTATACTTTGTTAAAAAAATACATTTGTGAATTCATTATGAATCTTATTAGATATTTATAATATTAAGGGAATACGATTCTGGTCATGTATAATTAATTTCTTACTTTATACAGTTTCCATTACATATGAAACCATTTATTGTGAAATAATTATTTTTAAATATATTTACGCACACATATATATATATATATATATATATATATATATATAAAAGCATTATTTTAATTTTTTAATAGTTTTGAGTTTTTCATTATTAACCCATTTTATCTCGCATTATAATTTCGAGAAGTAGTTTCTTAAATTTCTTTACAATGAACATAAGTTCATTGTAATATATAAACAAACTTTACATCCGTACCAAGCGTCTTGGTAAATAAAGCAATTACTGTGTAAATTTTATCTTATAATTGTTGACAATTTTCTGTGCTAAAATTGGATTATTCTTCTAGATCTAAAAGAATAATCTAACCTCAACACAAAAAATTTTCAATAGTTGGAAAGCAAACAGTTTGCTGAATTTGCTGAATTTTATTGTATTTTAAGGTTAGCAAATGTGTACTCTGTCTTATCGACCGTTGTCATGCAACATGACGTCACGCTTGTAGCTCACTGTCATAAAAAGCATGGCGGACGGGGGATGATAGGCGGCTTGTGTTGCCGAGTTCTGTCTTGTATGTGAAAAAGACGTTAATAAGTTTGATATATTTATGAAATACACGTCCTAGTATAAAAATTAGGTATAAAAAGAGTGAAACTTTCTCCTAAATTAACTCATAAGAAACGAAGGAGAGTATAAAAATTCACAGCACGATTGACACGTCTCGTCGTTTGATAATTAATATATTACAAATTGTATTTGCACTGTTTTCCAAAGACTGTCACGCTTTAAAAAATGGTATGTAATTTTGTAATGTAATTTTCTTGTTTTACAAGAAGACAGGTAATTATTCGTGAAACACGTACGTTTTTCAGGCGCAAGAGGTCGAAGAAACTATGAAACGGATTCAGTCTCATAAGGGAGTAGTCGGAACGATAGTAGTGAACGCGGAAGGTATATGTGTAAAAATTGACACGATTTTTTCTTGATCACGAGGATTCTTACTGAGTATGTTGGTATTTTAGGTATTCCAATAAAATCAACGCTAGACAACACAACAACTGTTCAATATGCAGGTTTGATAAGTCAGTTGTCGGACAAAGCTCGCTCCGTTGTACGTGATTTGGATCCAACCAATGATTTAACTTTTCTACGAATTCGTAGCAAAAAGCATGAAATTATGGTTGCACCGGATAAAGAATTTATATTAATAGTAGTGCAAAATCCAGTTGACTGATACCTAAAGGATATAATGTATTGCAAAATTAGGATTCATTCCTTTGGTTATTAATTTATTTTAAATGCTGCATTTGATTTTAATGTTTATTCAATTAGCAAATGAGAAAATAAAGCTTATATGATTGTAACTTTAAAATAATTCTGCAAATTATGACCTTTAAAGGCTTTCATGGTGTTTCTTGATAATTAATATTTTATAGTATTTTTGCAAATAGATTCTGAATAAACTAATTATTCCTATATCTTTGTATCATTTAATACAATCATATATGTGCAAATAGTCTATTGTATTTTCTATATATTGTGTATGTAATATACACATTTCAAAGCTGAGATTTATAAATTATAGTCATATTTTTTCGCTACGTAATGATAAAATTATATCAGAAATGTTTTTAAAATATATTTTAAAGCTATTCGATTCACGATATTAGAATCTAACAAATGCTCGAAATTTCGATTTTAAACCACATCTAGAGTTTGCACAAAAAATAAAATTTGGCATAAAGAAAGTATAAATAGCAAATTTAAATTATTGTCGACTATATTTTTATCTTATTTTTGTATTTTATTTTAATAAATTAAAATTACATTGAATTTAGTATGAATTTTTATGAATATATTTTTATGAATATATTGAGATAATTAGACAAATGTATGTATGTTTATGCATATATTTTATTTATTTTAAATATTTAATTTATTCTTTGTCAAAATATACAGTCTTTAATATTATTATCATTGTACATTACAGTCTTAGATTAACTTACATCTAATATCTTACATATATTAGGAAGTTGCAGCGTTTTAGATTCATAATTTACATATATATTTGTTCCTGAGACATTTCTTACAGATTAAAAGTAAAAAAAAAATAAATTTTTATTCAAGTTACTATAAAAATAATATTTCATTTCTATTAATTATAGCACAGCCACACTTATAATTCTGCGCAGTCTTTATGAGATATTTTATAATTTTATAATTGTTATACGCTTATAATGCAATTTTGAGACAATATTAAAAGATTGACATTACAAATATATAATCAAAATGTAAGCTTGCTTGTATAAAAAAAATTATAAGAATAGAAAATTATATATAGAATAGCAAGAGTTTAGAGATATATGAAATTCATTTTATAAAACGCTTCATTTTATAAAACTTTTATAAATTGTATCATAAAAAAGTTGAGTAGAAACGCGCACAATATATAAAACTGTCATGAAAACTTGAGCTATACACGTACATGTACATACGTATACATATGTACATATATACATAAAAAAGTTACATATACAGTAAAAAAGTTATATGAGTTAATATTGAGATTCTTCTTGTGTAAAATGCATCTGAAGGTACCTTATAATGTAGGAATGATTACATAATTCAATCCTCTCTAAAGTTTCCAAGATTACATGGGCTGAAGGGACGGATCTGTGACACGTTGCTTTTTTGAAGGATGGTACATAGCATAATATACAATCATTGCTGTAATTCCTATGAAAAAGGAGATGATGCAGATAATAAAAAATACATTAAAGTACCAAGCTTCTTTAACTTCAGAAGGAGAAGTAAATCGCCACATCAGATTAGATGTAATATTTTCCACAAAGCAAAGCGTATAGAAACACAAATGTTTCCAAAATGTATTAGTATCTACAGTATTTAGATATATAAAAATATGAACTATGCCAATAACTTGAGCAAATAATATAGAATAAATGCGTTCTTTAAATGTTGACCGCATATGCGGTGGGTGGCCATCTGTTCGACAGAACTCTAATATCCCATGGCAGTCGATCAAAATCCATATTGTCATGATTGTCCAATGTATCATGCAACATATTATAGTATATAAAGGCCAGATGCTTGCAATAACACCGAGAGATAAGATTCTTGCCACTGTAAGCATGGTAATAATTAGCAGTGATAACTAGCGAATTTTGGAAATATCTATCTCAACAATTTCACCTATTAATTGTTGATATACCTGTGACGCAAAAATGCCACAGAAATTGTAACACAGTTCCTATTATATCAACGTTAAATTTATCTTGTTGAGCTAATCGAATACTACGATGATAACTGGCCATTGCCCAACCCATACTGGTAAGTGAACTGACAATACTACCTACTTGATGTACAACTGAAAAATAATATAAAAACACATTAAAAAGACTGTTCAACAGTCATTTAATAATATTATAATATTTATCAAAATTATTTATATTTGATTGATATAGCAGCAAAATTTCCAATTGTATGCCAAGATTATCAAATTATAGAAAATTAAAAGTTACAAGCAACAAACTGGAAAATAAATTTTTTCTTAAATGTTAAATATTGCATTCAATATTTCATGATATTAAATCTCTTGTAACTTTGCAAAATATAAAAATAGAAATATATTTAGTATAATATAAGTACATTCAAGATTAATATCATTATGGTAATGCTTGAGCATCAGAGTTAACTGCAAGATTTGCTGTGGTGCAGCTTCTAGGAAACATTCGAATACTCTTAGTAAGGCAACATCTTGATCCTCCTTGAGCATCTTCAGGTAATATCTTTTTTCATTAGCATGATCTCTAGATTTCTCACATTTACGTGCTTTTAATGCATACTTCAAAGTTTCCCAATAATGTATAACCGGTGCCAATTGCAAGACAACAGCTATCACACAGTACAGTTTATTCTTAATCAACAAACGTGTTGTCTTACGATCGTTCAATGTATCCATATCAGAATTCATCTGTACCAAGGAATACACATTACTTGAAATACAGATGGATCATGAAAATGTCAGAATCACTAATGAAATTCAATAGAGCGTGCAATCTACTTCACTTTTTTATCATGATGCTGCATCTTCCTGCTGATGGCAACATTGATCAGAGAAGGAATGAGTATGAGGCACATTGTCCAAGCAAAGTACGTTATTTTGCCACCCAGATAGTACCGAATGGCGATGTTATAATCAAAACACATGTCTACGATGTGCATGACAATAGAACAAGTTAATAAGAAGATATCCAATTTGGAAATGTAAGGGACATCCAATGGCACGTCGACGACATCAACATCGAGATGGATGCCTGGAAATACTTTTGTAAAGTGGCAAGGACGACGTTCACGACTTTCTTCCTCCATGGTTTTCTATTATCGACTTCTTCGTTTCTTTCAACCTGTTTTCTCCTACAGGACAAAATATAATGATTTCCTCACTTACTCCTCACTTGCGATTACAAACAACTGCGAAACAATTCGTTTCTCCGCCACTGGCGGACAATGCGGGCATTGACCGATTCTAAATCGATAGATCGATTCTCGGAGAAAATCAAATCGTATTATCATCGATCAATGACGAGAATGAAAGAAAAAATTGATAGTTTATTACTCAAGAACGAAAAAAATTAAGAAAACTAAAAATTAGGAATTAGAAATAGAGAATTAAATTTTTATGTAATAAAGTAAATAATACCAAAAGAGAAGCCTAAAAGCAATTATGGCCGCGACTTAGCTGTTATTTTATTTTAAAGTCTTTATATTCATAAAATAATGATGATAATCGTTGAATTTCCGATTGTTCAACCAATCATAGTGCCATAATTATGGATATACTGGATTTTAAAAGAGCCCAAAATTCAGTGATAGCAAATCCATTGATAGCAATTACGTAATAGTTGAATGTTCATACTTTGTGCACATAGAGGCGCTAATGGATGAGTTCTAGTTAAAATGCAGGCATGACCATTCTCAGACTTCTCTCCTTCTGTCCGAGATGGAAACTCTCTCTGAACGCGATCGAAAAATTAGCAAATTTTGTGCTATGGCCGTACCAATCATAAGCCGAACATCAGTATTTTTCAATCTTTGACCAATCAGAATCAGGAAACCTTTATTCCATTTGCCTGGATTGGCCAATCGAATGCTTTTCTGCCTGTCGAGTAGGGTTTTGGAATATAAACGTGGAGGGTCAGTCCGTGGTCGTCCGTGTCAGTTGGCGCCCACTATCGGGTCGGTCGTGTCGGGGGATATCTGCGAGGAAGTCGCCGAAGTCACGTGATCGTAAAATAATAGTGTATCGAAGACATGGCGGACAAGGAGGAAACCGAAAAGACCATCGCCGAGGACTTGGTTGTCACCAAGTATAAAATGGCCGGCGAGATTGTAAACCGTAAGGAAACGGTGGCGCATAATCGCGACCGTGAACGTGGCGTCGCGCGCGCGATTTCTCTCCCCCGCGGCCATATGGGATGCGGCGCGCCAAAGCCGGGCAATGACCATGTGCTATCTCGACTGCGACGTTCTCCGCACGCGATAGCGCTTCCCCCTAATATCAATTCCCTACTGCCGAGAGCGCGAGAGTTTCCCTTAGGGCGACTTTGACCGAGCTCCAATTGCGTTAATCGGCGATTAATTCAGCCGGTAGAATTGCTCCAAGCGAAATTCCCAGCTATAAAATTGATTCGTCGTTTTTAATGCTTTCCCCATATGTTAAACAAAAGTTTAATAATTCTGTTCGCATTAATGCAATAGTATTGGCATCGATAGAATAATTTCTGATTAATTCAATTGAAGTTTGGTCAGAGTTATTCTTTAGAGCATCTGTTTAACACTATTACATATTTATGTTGCTTGCTTGTTTCTCTTAATTCAATCGATATGGCTAAAGTTATTTCTTACTATCAGTTACCTGTCTAACATTTTTATGCTTATTTATATCATTTTTTTATTTATTTTTTTTGGAGATATTTTGGGTTCAAGCCTATTATAACTTTTTCTTTATATTTATTTAAGAAGACTACAAGTTTTTATTGATATTAAAGATCGATTGTCTTACTATATTGTTATAATTAAGATGTACTTATATATTGTCTATATTTTTTAGGGGTATTGAAGCAAGTTTTAAACAAATGTGTTGCTGGAGCTTCCGTAAGGGAAATATGTGAATTTGGTGACAAAATACTTATAGAAGAAACTAGTAAAGTCTTTAAAAAAGAAAAGGAACTTAAAAAGGGTATCGCTTTTCCAACATGCATATCAGTTAATAATTGCATTTGCCATTTTTCTCCTATTGCTAGTGAACCCGATCTTATTCTGAAAGATGAGGATATGGTTAAAGTGTAAGTTTTTGATAAATTTTCTATTAAAAATTTTATATGTAAGCTTATAAATAAGGGTCGAACTCATCTTTAATTTAACAAGTTCTTCTCTGTTATTGAGGTATTTTAAAAATAAATATTTATTTATATTACTCTATTTATATCAATTTCAAGTTGTGGAAATTTAATATAAACAAATTTTAATATAAGTTTTTAAGATTTTAATATTTCAATATTAATATATGATAATAATTCAAATAATTCTGTCATTTTACTCTTTAATTATTTAAATAAATTAATGAAATTGTATAATTACAGTGATCTAGGAGCACATGTTGATGGTTTCATAGCTGTAGTGGCACATACCGTTGTCATAGGTTCTTTACCAGAAAAGAAAGTGACAGGCAGGAAAGCAGATGTAGTTTTAGCTGCACACTTTGCCTCACAAGCTGCATTAAGGCTTTTAAAGCCAGGTACAGAGGTAGGATTGAGAATATCTGTGAATTATTTTTCTTATATCTTTTTTTTTAAATTAAAAATAAAATATATTATTTTAGACTTACACGATAACGGGCACTGTTGAAAAAATATGCGATGCTTATAAATGTAAACCGATCGAGGGTATGTTAAGTCATCAGTTAAAACAATTTAAGATTGATGGAGAAAAAACAATAATTCAGAATCCGAATGATGCGCAGAAAAAGGAACATGAAAAATATACTCTCGAAACTCACGAGGTACATTTAAATTAATATGTAATCAGAATTGTTAAATTTTGCTATTTTTATTTTTACACAAGTGTCAACAATTCGCCAATCATTCAAATTAGCAATTATGATATATATATATATATATATATATATATATATATATATATATATATATATATATATATATATATATATATATATATATATATATATATATACACACATGTAAATTGCGAGATTTTATCAATAAAATTTCAATAAATATCCTTATTTATTATAAATTTATAAGAAAAAAGACTTTATTGTGCATATTTAATTTTAGGTATATGCAATGGACGTATTAGTCAGTACAGGTGAAGGGATAGGAAGGGAACAGGATACTCGAGTTACGATATACAAGAAGACAGAGGAGACATATCAACTTAAACTGAAGGCGTCTCGTATGTTTTATTCGGAAGTCTCCCATAAGCATGGTCTCATGCCTTTCAATTTACGTACCTTCGAAGATGAAAAAAAAGCGAAAATGGCTGTTGTTGAATGTGTAAATCATAGGTTGATCGAGCCATTCCAAGTAAGATTCTTATTTATATATATTTATCTCTTACATATGTTTATTCTTTATAAAATAATATTTTAATATTACATTTTTTTGCATAGGTGCTGTACGAAAAACCAAACGAGTACGCGGCGCAGTTCAAATTCACGGTACTTTTGATGCCTAATGGACCTCATAAAATTACGGGAATACCCTTTGATCTTGACATGTACCAGTCGGATTGCGTCGTGGATGATCCTGAATTGAAGGTATGTGGAACATTAAAGTAAGAAAAATAATAGCTTCGTAAATGCTGTACATAACTATTATGTTATAATTGCAGAATCTTTTGTATTCTTCGGCAAATCCGAAATCGGCGAAAAAGAAGAAAAAGAAGGCAGAGAAAGCTGTAGGAGATGTCGCCATGGAAGTTGATACTAAGGCCTAACATTGTCATTTTAATATATACCATGACTTACCGGCATTGTGCACTACTTCGATACTTTTTATTTAGTGATCTAAGAGAGCCACAGGCTGGACACTTTCAAACATAGATCATTCAATGATCAGCATAACTACACATTTATTCGGTCATCGCACAAATTATTAAATGCTATGCTTTGCATCCCTGTATTGCATCCCTGTATGAATTATCAGTAATTATCTAATATGCATCTATATATTTCATTCATTCGAAGAAAGTGTCGAGTTTTGCTGCTCTACCGAGAAAATTAAACTCTGTCATACATTACGCCACAATTTTCTCAGCGCTTAAGTTTTTATACCAGACTACCTTTTAATGGATTATGGTATTATTATTATTATTATTATTATATGCAAATTTCTATTACTTGCAATTATTGTATATTGCGTTTTCAATCTTTAAACTAACATCTCAGACATAACAATCGTGTGTGATTGTTTTCTGTGAAATATTTTGATTAGCTGAGCTGATAGAAGTGAATCGTATTAATGACTACAAGATATTAAAAATTATTTTCATTTCAATTTAATTAAAATGACAAAATTTTTATGTAGAGTACAATATTGTGCATAATATTATTCTTCTGAGTATAGAAAGGTACATATATATAAAATGTGTCTTTTTGAGAGTTCAAGTATGTACGTGTCTTGCTTCCTTGAAAAAATATACATCGGAAGTTTAAAGATGATGTGTGCGTTCACACTTTTTTCACTTAAAAGGGATAGCATTAATGTATGGCACTGTACATCTGGCATCTATTCGATTTATATATACATTATTTTAGTATCAGGAAATTAATTTTATGTATAGCCAAGTTGTATATTGTAACTTTTGAATATTTCTGTAAAATACGATTCTCTTTCATGTTTATCACTAGTTCAGCAGTAGCCAATTTTATATCCTGTGTCCAGTTATGAGAATTATAATATAACGTTTGACCTTAAATTGTATAATTGGAGGAATGTCCGTTCTTGGACACTGCATAAACAATGAAATGCCAATGACTCTTCGAGTGTTTCGTTGCGAAGATACCCCCGACCGATAAAAAAATATAAATTATATAAGTCTCTTCTACTCTGCGCAAATTATGAATCGATGCAGAGTACAAATTGTTAGTAGCAGCTGGAAATGTGCATCTTTAATATTGAACGAAGGTCTTTATTTAAGCGAAACAAAAGATAAACTTTCGCAAGAAAATGCATTCTTGGGAAGTAATATTGACTTGCCAACTTGCTACAAGCAGTAAATTATAAAAATTAAATATTGTGTAATGATAGTTTTATATAAGACAGATAGATAAAATGTATCTGTTATAGATATTTTTTCTACTCGAGTTGTGCATACGTTGAATGTTACAAAGTGTGCTTGTATAACAAAAGATCATTGTGCACTGTCCATCATTTGCCTATATGTTTAATTGCAATCATGTTTGAAAATTATTGGCAATATTTATAGGAACTTTATAATATTTTCTTCTAAGATTTTCAAATTAGATGAGATCTTAGTGAAATAAATAAGATAAATAAATCTTTCATTCATATATATAAATTTCTATACAAATGTTCACACATTATATATACATACATAC